AAACAGCCCGTTTTTTTAGATTGCAGCAAGACTAAGACGTATTCGTTAATCATTGGCTTACGCTGTAAATCAGGAAAATCTTCATCAATAATTTCATATCCTTGGTCATCTTCCTCATCCGATTCTAGGTCCATTTCACTTTCAAGAATTATATCTTCACCTTCACTGGTTTCACTGTCTTCATCTGGTATAAATATTTTTTATTGTTTTTCATATACGAGGGCGGCACTGAAAATTTCGGGAATCAAGGAAGTGACACAACATTACTATTTAAAAATGTATTTATTGCTTTTAGAAAGAAGTACAACTCTGTGTAAAAAGTATCGGGAATATGTCAATAAAAAGACCCGCGTAAAAGAGGTCGTTCTAATTTTTTTACTGCATGTTGGTAGCACTGTACTGATTTAGCGCGCAAAGTTTGAGCGGGATCTGTCATTTAATTTGTTTTAAACTACACTTTTTGTTGGTCATAGTTTTGAGTTCTCGGCGATTTTTACAATGGAAAATATTGTTGAACAAAGAGTGTGCCTTAAATTTTGTGTTTCGAATGATATTTCATGTGGTGAATCATTAAAAATGTTGCGAAATACCTACGGCGAATCGTGTATATCGAAAACAAGGGCTTATGAATGGTATAAGGCTTTTAAAGAAGGCCGAGAAGTAGTAGTAGACTTGCCTCGTTCTGGTAGACCTTCAACCGCTACGACCAAAGAAAACATCGACAAAATCAAGAAGCTAGTGCTCGAAAATCGACGTATGAGTCTGAGAGAGTTGGCTAGTGAGGTGAACATATCTTTTAAGTCCGTCCACAACATTCTCATTGACATTTTAGGCATGAAACGCGTCGCCGCTCGACTAGTTCCAAAAGAGCTCAATTTTGTTCAAAGAGCGCAGCGAAAGCATGTCGCTGAAGACATGATTTCCCGAGCTTCTACGGATCCGACCTTTATGAAACGTATAATAACTGGCGACGAGACATGGGTTTATGAGTACGACATGCAAACAAGCTAACAGTCTTCAGAATGGCGTCTCGAAAACGAGCCGAAACCCAAAACCGCGGCAAAGTCGCTCCAAAATCAAGATGATGCTGACAGTTTTTTTTGACTACCGTGGTGTGGTTCACTCCGAATTCCTTCCAAAGGGAGAAACAGTGAATAAAGAATATTATTTAGGCGTCATGAAGCGTTTGCGTGAGAGTATCCGCCGAAAACGTCCAGATTTGTGGCAACACAACTCATGGATGCTGCACCATGATAATGCACCATCAGACACAGCCATTATAGTGAAAGAGTTTTTAGCGAAAAATTCAACAAAAGTTCTCGACCAAGCACCGTATTCACCTGATATGGCTCCGTCTGACTTTTTTTTATTTCCCAAGTTAAAATTACCACTTCGAGGAAAACGTTTTGAGTCGATAGAAGCCATAAAAAAAATTCGCTGAATGAGCTAAAGGCCATACCGCAAATAGCCTATGAAATATGTATGGAAGACTGGGTGAAGCGTTGGAGATGTTGTATTGCAAGCGATGGGGCCTACTTTGAAGGCGATAAAATAAATTTAGATGAATAATTTGTATTTTTTTGTTTTATTGATTTGTGATATTTAGTACACAGAAAGTATTCTCCGCGAAATTTGACACATTTTTCCATACGATGAAACCAATCATTGAAGCAACCATTCCATTCGGAAGTTGGGGTCTCCAAAATGGCCGTTTTGTAGGCGTCCACAGCTTCTTCGGGTGATGAAAATCTCTGTCCACGCAATTTATTCTTTATTTTAGGGAAAGTATAGAAATCATTAGGGCTTAGGTCGGGGCTGTACGGCGGATGGTCTAATAATTCTATGTTTTCTTGCTCTAATAACTCTTTTGTTCTGTGTGCGGTGTGAGAACTCGCATTGTCGTGATGGAGGATGATGCGGCGGTTGCAGTTCTCTTTACGGAGTTCAGAAACGACCAGTGGCAAACAAATGCTAGCATACCATTCTGCATTAACCGTTCTTTGTCCCTCAAGAGGAATGGTCTTAACATGGCCGGTTTTGGAGACAAACGTGGCCACTATTTTTTTTGCAACACTCCGTGAACGAACAATTTTTGTTGGCTTTAACTAATTTTCGAACACCCAAACTCGTGACTGGTTTTTTGTTTCGGGTTCGTACGCATATATCCAGAATTCGTCACCTGATACGATGTTCTATACAGCATTTGAGGATCCTGCGTGGAATCTTTCGAGAGTTCTGACGCACCAAGTAACGCGAGCCGCTTTTTGCTCTTCACAGAGCGAATGCGGTATCCATCGGGAAAAAAACTTTTTTACACCTAATTGTTCATGCAAGATTATTTGTATTTGACTCATGCCAATGTCTTAAGTTGCCTGAATTTCGCGGTATGTTACATGTCGATCTTCCTCAATCAGCTTACGCACAGCATCAAGGTTTTCTTGGGTGACTGCAGTTTTTGGACGACCTTGACGGGGATCATCACTGAGCTTGACACGTCCACGTTGAAATTCAGCAAACCAGCGATAAATTGTGGTTTTGGATGGGGCTTCATCACCAAATGCAGAAATCATCCGGTCAACACACAGTTTTTGTGTTAAACCACTTCGAAAGTCATAATAAATCATCGCTCTTGAATTTTCTCGAGTCAATTCCATTTTCTCAACGACTAAACAAGTTTGACAAAACCTTGTGACAAGACCGAGAATCTTTTTTTAAATAAATAAATGGTATTCAATTTTATAAAAACCAAAGACTTTTCAATTAAAAAGATTTTAATATGACAGGAACAGTGGAAATATTCCATTCCCGATACTTTTAGTGCAGCCTATGTATGGTGTCTTTCTGATTTTACTTGTTGATGGAAAGCATTTTATTTCCACAGTCTTGTAGAACTTTTCTTTTATTCTGACCTTTTCTATTTAATGCTGCAGTACGTTCCACAGCTATTCTTTCCTTTTCTGGAGTGTGTTGCTATCATGCTTTTACCCAATTTTCTACCTTTCCGTTTGTTGGAACGAGGACCAGCCTCTAGCAGAGGCAAAAATTTTGCCACAGCTTCCCGATTGAATGAGGTAGCTCGTGCGAGACTTACAGCTTCTGGTTTCTTTACTGAAATATCAGGATGTCTTTTTTTTTAAAGAAATGAAACCATTCCAAACCTGACATTTTATCCCTTTCCCATGAGCTTGGTATTTTAATGCCATTAACCTTTGCCATTTCGTACGCCACCTTCCTACATTCTTTGATGGTCAACCCGTAGCACATTAGTGCACAGTCTTTGTTGTATTTTAATAATATTTGTTCGTGTTCTTCAGTAAACATTATTAATATCATACCTCGGTTCGAGTGATATATTATCACCATGTTCACGTTTTTTTTAACGTAACGGCGCAATGTTGTGTAGGGAATTTTACTGGTTTTTGCCGCCATTTTCTATCATTAGTAATGCTGACATCATATCGTCTTTTTTGTGTTTTCCAATTTTTCTTTCCTTATTTCTTGGCCTTGGCATCCTAATACAATCAAAAATATCTTTGATTTTCAGCATAACACTATCATTGAACAGTGAACCAGGATCGTAAGGTACACAGTGAACCGGTTCACTGTGTACTATGCGAACCTGATTCACTGTCCAATACACACACTATTCAACTTATAATATTTAAAAAAAAATAGGTTGTAGGCTGAATTGTGACAAAGCAATATGCTCATAAAACGTCTAAAACTACAACAATATCGACACCATAAAGCCTTTGGTGCTACAATTAATAACAAAATATATAAAAATCGAGAGACACTTAGGTGAGAATTTTATGTTTTTTTTGGTGAGAAACAAACAAACCGCCGTTACACGTCACGCTCAAGCCGTGGCCACCGGCTAACTACGGGAGAGGGGAAGGATGCCTACGAGAAAAGTTTTAACACGATCGGTCAAATTGGCAACCTCGCAGTTTTTTCAACATGGCGGTGGTTCAATGTTCTTGGTTGATTCACTGTTCATCAACCGACCCTACACTCAATTTTACATTTATATCATTAAATTTTTGCACTTGTATCCTCAGGCAATATGCACATTTAAAAAGTCTCATACACAAACGCATAAACATATATGTACATGCATACTAGATATGAGCGCCGAAAGTCAATTTGTTGGCGGCGGCGGCGTCGGCGGCGTGACTTATACCTACGACATATAACTACCTTAATTTAAGAGAAGAAATAAAACAAAAACACGTATAATTAAGATTTATTATAATTTTGGCGTGACAAAAGTCTGATATTCAGTAACATAGCTGTAGATCAATAGGAAATTAGGAACATAAAACCCGATTTAATTACGACATTAATAAAAAAAATCAACAACAACAATCAACAATATTATCATCTCCAACGTAAGGTACTATCATATAAATATTACAACATATAAATATTATTCATATTAAAAACAATTATAATTCAAATAGTAAACATTATTTAAAACTAACGAAAACATGAGATCATAGGTTCAGTCAGTTAAAAAATGAATTACCAATTAAATTCAAATGTCGGTTTCTCGTTTGCAATGGCTATAGTTGTCATGAATAAATATTATTCGGTTTACCCTTAGCGGATTTAATCGAGACCGTTTTGCGGTTATTACCTGCCCTGCAACAGAGAAAACTCTTTCGCTCGGGGTACTTGTCGCTGGTACAAATAATATCGATCGAGCCAAAGTTGACAGCCATGGAAAGGAAATCTTTCTGTCTTTCCAGAACATCAGTACATCACCGTCGTAGGGCTGAAGATCTTTGACACTAGCTGTGCTAAAATACTTCCAGCATTCATTTTCAACCACGCTGTCTATATCACTGGATGTACTGCTGTGCTTCTCAACCAAATACATCAAAAAATTTGATGGCGTAGGCGCGGAACTCGGTCCAGGTGTTGCATCTCTTGCTGGGTCAACAACATCCTCCTCTTTCAATATATTTTTTAAAAAATTTGACAAAAATGCTACCTTGCTACCTGCTTTCTTGACTTTCCATGTAAATGTCGATTTCCTTAATTGATTGAAACCTACAATCCAATAAAGTAGCCGCCACAATAGTGTCTGTAACAGGAAAGCGATAGTCCAAACGTTGCAACATGTTATTTTTTAGTCTAGTGACTATGACAGGTTCATCATCGTTATATTCTTCTAGCAACCTTCTGATTTCTGATTTAAAAACCAATGCTAAATTAATAGTGGTTTGTGATTCAGAACTTAAACATTCCACTGTCGTCTTGAATTTATTAAAGAACGATGCCAAGCCAGTAATTAAATTGTACTCGTTCTCATCTAGTAAAAGAGCACTGCGCCCTATATCAATCAACATGTCTCTAATGGGTCGGCGATTTGCATTGTGACTGATGCTTGTTAGCATCATAAGCATACTGTGCCATCTCGTTGGTGTACTCGTCTTTATAGTAGGAGGGGCGCTGGTTCCAGATCTTGTCGAAACCTCATCTAAGTCAAAATCATTCGATAAAGCTTCGTCATCCGAGTGGTTTATATCTACACCAATATCCTCAAAAGATGAGAGCAGATCACGTTGTTCTTTGCTGGCAGCGGCTTCTAGTTGTGGAGCTCTATACCTCAAGTGCTTGACTATTTTCTTACATTTATTAATAAGGCAAAGAACCGCATCAGTGTTCTGAATACCATCTACGGTGACCAGATTATGCAAAGCATGGCTTAGGCAAAGATGATTTTTCATATTTAACAAATCAGCAGCTCTTTTCATATTACTGCCAGAGTCGGTCACAAGGACAATATCTTTTTGTGGAATCTGAAATGTCCGCAAAATACCTTGAATTACGTCTCTAATCTTTTCACCTGTATGTTTTCCAATAACTTGTTGGGTGGCTAGTGTGAATTTCAAAAGTTTCATCTCACGAGAAATGAAATGCAAAGTGCAGCTTATATAATTGCGACGTCTAAATTGATCAGTCCACAAATCTGTTGTTAATGCACCAAATCTTATATTTTGCTTTTTAATAATACTCTGTACATATGTTAACATACTGTTATATACATCTTCTAGCCCCTCTCGAGCAATATTATGCCGTGAGGGTAGATCGTCATCAGCCACAATTATATTATATTTTTTTAAAAAATCAATCATGGCTTCATCATTTATGCTGTCGAATGGCAATAGTGATCTGGTGAACCATAATGCCAGATCGCGCGCTAGCATCCACTTGTCTTTTTTTACACCAGTTTCACCACTTTTTGTGACTGGTTTAGATTTTCTCTGTACGGAAAAAAATCCCTTAATGGGGGCTACTTTTTTTCTATTGTGAGTATCTTCTAAGTTATGTTCGTCCTTTAAATGACGCAGTAAATTGCTGGTGGCTATATTTTTACTGTAGGCTTTGACGAGTGCTCTGAAACAAAATTAAGGAAATTTTATTATAGTATGTAAACTTGAGTCAGAAAGCTCAAGTCTGTAATTTATTCGAGTATAAACTCGGCTGTTTTCAGTATCTACAATACCTCCGGAATGAAAAACAGCGATCTCATAGATTTCATTATCACTTTCATCACTGAATACATCCATTTTTTAGATATTAAATAGGTTTTATTTATTTAAAAACACGACAAATATTTGCTAACTCTCGAAATTGGACGATAAACAAAACTCTGACATCTGGTAATTTGAACTATCGCCAGTTAACTGCCAAAACGTTGTTGAAACAGTTAGCTGTTTTTTTTTTATTAACCCACTTAACTCAGGTAGTCGGTAAGTCCTCCGAACGGTAGATCAATGTGATGGTTAAATATTTCTATCTATCATTGATTATTGAAACGGAAAAATATAACTATAGATACCAATGGTAGATATTTTAACTTCCAGTATGAGATAGATAGGTTATTGAGACCGGCCGTAAAACATCCAATATACCTTCTTACTTATCAAATTACTAAACTCATAAAAAAGCTATCTACAGATAAGCAGGTATTTCATTATTTTAAAATAAACGAAGGTACATAAACTTACTTAGAAAAATGCACATCGCCATCTTTTTCTTTCGCTTGTTTCAAACAAGCGTCGCAAAACACTTGTTCGCCCAACACTGTTCGTTTTTATCCCTCAATATTAATAACTAAATGACCAAAATAAGTCCAACAAAAACTGTGTTTGTTTGCTGATAACTTGGACATCACAGAAATTGTAATGCCAGAGAGCTTCGTTTTATAAACGTCTACGTCTAGAGCCGCCATTTTGTTAGCATTTAGGCAGACGTGCGTTCGATTTGATCAGCGTGTCAGGTTAAACTGAATGCCGCCACTCGGGATCGGCGCGCCGGCGCCAAGGATCGGCGGCGGCGGCGCGGGGGGAATTACGGCGGCGGGCGGCGCGTGGCGCTGCGGTCGCGTCGTAAAGGCACTTAACCCCACTTAAAGCGGCTTAACCCCACGCTCGTAACCAGCTCGGGGCAATCAGTGCGTCCGTGCACTATGTCGTACAGTTAGGTCTGTCTTCAAGGGTAAGCAGGTTAAATCGGTCACAGTTCTCTTGATAGGTTGGCAAGGCTGGTTTATGTACGCGATAGTTAAGATGCTTAATAAATATTTTCTGTACGCGCTCTTGACGATTTATGTAAATGGCGGGCGTATAACGTCACTGCGAAATTTTATGTTCAATATCTTCTTCAGAAACCTCTAAGTTTAGCCCATTCATTGCTACTAAATTTTTAATAACATTACCTGGGTGCCAGTTAATGTGTTTGTGGATTACAATAGAAAATGCGTAATTGAATGCATTTTTTAATTATAAAAACTTCATTAATAACCCATCTAAAAAATGGTAGACACCGTGGTAAGAGAAATTTAATCACAAGTGCCATTCAACACACCGTTTGTGTTGTCGTTTGGATAGTATTAATCAACATATTCTGATGTCTCGGCCACATACATCGCGCTAGCGCAAAGATTCGATCTATCACAATGTATGTGACCAGCCCTTCGTGAATACTTCGTAACTTCGTGCAAAGTTTCAAGCACATCGCTTCGTTATCGCAATGTATGAGACCGGCCCTTCATGAATACTTTGTCACTTCGTGCGAAGTTTCAAGCACATCGCGCTTCGCTGTCGGTAAATTCTCGAACTTCAAAAGATTTTATCGTGATGGACTTGGCGTGTGCGGCCACACTTCAGTCTGCCCACAGACATCGTGCGTAGCGGATGTGTCAAAATAAATTAGGGTTTGCGACGTATTTCCGACATGGTTTGGTCTAACGAAAAAATTTTAAAATTTATTAATTATTACGAGTTCGAGCCGATATTGTGAAACCCGAAAGATGTTGGCCACAAAAGAAAGGATATAAAATATGATGCTTGGGTCAGAATAAAAAATAAACTAAGTTGGGAATGTACTTATGGCATATTATAAGGAACATTTAAATAAGAAAAAAAGGCGATTAAATCTGGTGCTGGGGCAGCAGAAATTCATAATATCAATTGGTTTGCTTTTGACGCCCTAAACAGCTTTTTACAGCCTTGTAGGAAAACTATAAATACACAGGTAAGAAATAATGTGTATATGAAGTTTTAAATAAAAAAAAATACTTATTGCTAGCTCAAATAATTTATTTAGAGATAAAAGACAGATTATATCGACAAAATACCCAAACCTATCACTATTTATATTAAATGTTTGTTTAATTGTGTTGTGTGAGACGAAAAATTGAGCAAATGTATCCCGTATGTTTGACGGTGTAGGAGCATTTCTCCTGTCTACAGCTGGCAGTGAACGCAAGGCACTGTCAACTGGTTGTTCATTCCTCCAAGTGTCAGGAATCACCTCGTTATTTTCAAACCTATCCAAGAAGCCAGGCGGGATGTACAAATTATTAGATGTTTTACTATTCCTTAGGAAGTTATGAAGTAAAACGCATGACATTACAATATTAGAGGCACGATCCGGTTGAAGTGCTATTGGTTTTTTTAGTACTCTGAAAATGCTAGACATTACTCCAAACACATTTTCCATAATAATTCTAGCTTGTGATAATTTTCTATTGAAATTTCTTCTGGGTGTTCGCCGGGGTAAGGTTTCATAATGTTTGTTTGTAGTGGGAATGCATTATCTGCTACAAATACGAGTACATAAGGCATTGCATTGTCACAACCAGGAAGTGGGAAAGGAGCTGGTGAATTAAGATCACCTCGACTTAGTTTCTGGAATAGTAAACTATTTCTAAATACACCTCCATCATTAATTCTTTCCTGGCCTCCAACATTTGCAAATATGAATTTGTAGGTTCTGTCAACTAATGCTAACAGAACAATGCTGTATGTGTGTTTGTAGTTATAAAATTCAGTTCCACTGTGATACGGTGTATAACAATATGTTATCCGTTCATAGCTGCTACGCAATGTGGAAAGATATTGTGGAAATCGGCTTCTTTTTTCATCAGATCGAAAAAGAAGTACAGGAAATATGCAGCAGAAGAAAAAAATAGGTCCGGTGATGAAATCCCTCATCGAGCAAAACGGGCGCGTTATGATTTAACTTCAGAGATAAACACTGCTTGGCAGCAAATGACTGAAGCTTTCAACATTGTTCAAAATAACCTATAAAATGACGAATACGAAATTTTTGGAAGACTAATAGCTAGTAAATTAAGAAAAATTTGCAACACAAATCTTAAAGAAATTTTTATGAACGATATCCACAATATTATATTTAAAGCGTGCATGGTGAATAGACTAAATGAACCGACTGACCTCAATCTTTCGTCCATTGTTCATCCTCAACTAATTCACCACAAGATCCATACCAGTCACCAAAGATATCACACAGTCAGCCACACCGATCGCCCCAGTCACCATACAGTCAGCCACATCAATCGCCCCAGTCACCATTCAGTCAGCCTTACCAATCGCCCCCGTCACCGTACAGTCAGCCACAAACATCTCCCCAGTAGCCATACATTCAGCCACAAACATCTCCCCAGTAGCCATACATTCAGCCACAAACATCTCCCCACTCACCATACAGTCAGCCACAAACATCTCCCCAGTAGCCATACAATCAGCCACAAACATCTCCCCACTCACCATACAGTCAGCCACACATATCGCCCCAGTCACCATACAGACAGACACACATATCGCCCCAGTCACAATACAGACAGACACATCAATCTATATATATATAATCTATGTTTGTATATAATTTATTATAAGATATTTAGTATGTTTGTTCGACATCTGATTAATCTATACTTATTCACTTTCTCTATTGTTACATTAACGGCACCCAATAAATAATTATCTGTCTCTGTCTGTCTGTCTGTCTGTCTCTCTCTCTCTCTCTCTCTCTCTCTCTCTCTCTCTCTCTCTCTCTCTCTCTCTCTCTCATTTCAAATCCATATTGTGATGAAATCATTAAAACGTCCCGCCGGTCTTTCCATTTCATAAAATACCACTATTATTGAATTTTACTATCGATACGCCACGTTTCAATTATCGTTATAAGACTTCTTTCGGATTTTTTTTCGATTGACACGTAAAGTTCCCGTACAATATGTTTTAAGAGTCAATAATTTGTGTGCAAGATTTACAGAATTATAAAAGTTATCCAGATAAACGTAATACCCCTTATTAAAATAATCACATAGTAAATACAACTTTTTCACTGTGATTGGCACCTGCCACTGAAGTATCCGTAGCGCCGGCATATACAATAATCTTCATATTTTTTTTTTAGTTACCCCCACACTAGGATTTTTTCCTGTATCGTGGAGGCAGTTTACAAACACAAATTGCACAAGGACAAACATCCAGACCCGGAACAATTATTTGTTGGTCATACAAATACTTGTTCCGTGTGGGATTCGAACCCGCGGCCCCCAGCGCAGCAACTCATTGCTAAGCCACTGCGCCACGGAGCCGTCAATTACCCCATATTCGTCGGTAAGGATATAGTTTTATACCGTAGGGATGCTTTTTGCCTTTGAGATACTGACGGAATGTTAAACGACCACGAAACAAAACCATTGACTTATCTATGGTCAGATTCTTAGATGGGTAATAAATTTCTCCCATTCGCTGGTTAACATAGTTTATTAAACTATTTATTTTTGATAGTCTATTATCGGACAAGTCGTCTTCAAAATTTAAAGATCTCATTATTAATAGAAATCTGTTTCTACTCATGTGATTTGAAACAACCTGGTAAATTAAATAGTGGATGCTTTTTCCAGTAGTCTGACTCGGTTTAGTTTGATAGTTCCCATGTGAAACAAAAATAATAACCAAAAAATATTTTAATTTCTGGAATAGTTACATCTTTCCATAGTATCAGGCTGCTTTTAGGATCTAGTATATTCGACAATAACTAACGCGTCATTGTTAATCTTTGTAACATTGTAAAAAACTCATCAGTCGCAATCGCAAAAAAAAGCAATTTGAAATAGTCGCATGATTTAGGTAATATTTTGAGTTACTTTTCGTATCCATCAACATCTATAATATGTACAATAGTGGTATCACGTTCAGTTTTCCATTCATCATTAGTTGATTGTAACGTTTCATTACAAATTATATTATTATCTTCACTCAATTGCGTCGCGTCTTCACTTGCGTCAGAATAAAATCAATTATCTGATACATTTTCCTAATCACCATTTTTTTATAAATCGTCGTCTTCCATTTCCAGCATCTTAATGAGGTCTTCTTCAGTCAATAGTTTTCCAAACTTTTTTGCACTGTCAAACAGAGTTTCCTCTTACAATTTTGGTTTGTCCCTATTTTTTTTTAGGACTTATCCCTAAACGATCTTAAAAATTCTTATTTTTAAGGAGCATATTTTTATTCGATAAATTAAACAATAATTTATTATTTTGAATATTTATTAATAAATCAACAAAAGATCAATTACCAAAAACCAGATCAGACAGAAGATTTAGTAGCTGAAGCATTACTTTTGTAATGTTTTGCTGCACTTATCTTGGCACTGTTGGGTTCTAAAATTGAGCAATTGTTTTCTTGCATTCCGAAATTTGTATGAAACAAGCCGTTCAGAGTTTCGTTAGAAAGTCTATTTCTTTTATCTGTTTTTACA